GAATCAATAGAGCAAAAGCGAAAGCTAACCACATTTTTTTCTATATATCTATATATATGTAAAATGAAAAAACAATCTGATGATATATATATCATCACATTCGAAAGTGAAAATTGACCATTTTTTTTAAATATATAGTCATGATGTGATTCAATTCAACTTTTTCAATTTTTATATATAAACAAAAAACTTTCATTAACAGTAATGGGGAAATTAAATAAAGGTTATGTAAAGTTTATTTTTATAAAATATAAATACGGTAGGCGTTGAGCACCATCAGATTATTATTGGATGCTGAGACAAGGAGTAACTGATACGGTAATTGATATATTTCTTTGTGCATAAAACTATGCCGTCAAGTGTCAAAAGAAAATAAAGCGTCACTTTGATTGGTTAAGAAATATTGGAATGTTCCTTCACAATATAAATCAAATTCATTTGTCATAAATATATAGAGAAAATTTTTCAAACTATGAAATGTGCTGAAAAATTTCAAAGTCGTTTCGAAAATCTCAAATTCAGAAATATAGTAGTTATACAGGAAAAATCATTTTTTTTGTAAAGGTACTTTCACACTCTTTCATACAAAAAAATGATTTTTCATGAAAAAATGGTAAGAATTAAAAAATTATTCCAAGGCGCAAAATCCATTAGCAGTCATTTCATATGTTGCTGTTTTCAGGCACTTATTTAAATCTGAAAGAAAGAAAGCACATTATTATCATTCTATGAATGTTAGCTACTAAAAGCCGAGCAGTTTTCATTGAGTCAAACACTTTTTTGTTTATTTTTTTTCTTAAAGTTACGCAAAAATTGTTGTTAGAATTGGAACAAAGGATTTCATTCTGCAGAAAGATATTAGTCTTGTTAGAGGCAGTGACAAATGTATAACTTTCAGATTTTCTATCTCTAAAACCTATTTACCAACAAAAATCGAAAGGAGAGGTGATAATAGAAAAGTGAAGAAGGAAGTATGCTGATATGGTGAGGAATCTGGCAGTGTAGTAATAGTGGCGTGGGTTACTGGAAAAGACAAGGTGCATCGAAACTGGAAAATAATGAAAATTGAAGAAAATAAGAAGGCGCTTCATCAAGGATATACGTATATTTTTATGCATAAATGTTCTGTTAAAGCGTTTTTCGTCGCGGAAGAAAATTTGCATTTGAATATAATTTAGTTTTTCATTAAAAACAAGTTTGCACAATTTCGTCTATATCTATTAACTTCAAGAATGGCAAAAAGTCATTCGCTATTATTTCCTGACAATGCGTGCTGCTCTGCATGTGTCAATAACAAGCAGAAGTTGTCAAGATATAATCTTATTAATTTAATAAAAAATCACATTGACTGAAATGGTAAACAAACACAAATGAACTTGCAATTTGTGCCTATTTTTGAAAATGCATCGCTAATATAGTCAAATGCAAAGCACTGCAAAAAAATGCTTGAATAGTTGCATTTCACTGATATCAATAATGCATGAAATTTGAAAGTGCTTGTGCATTCTGACCAAAAACTCAAACTTTTAGAAGCAATCTTTTTTAGTTTCTGAATTTGTAGGCGAATTGTAGTTTTGTTAACATCTGCGTTTAAACGTGGAAAGCTAACGCTATTAATTCAACTGAATGCATGATAACCGATAAAATAAGCTAAAAATTTGCAATGATTTCAATGAATAATGTCTCTTTTGGTATGTAAATGAAAAATTATCTGATGAGATGTAGTTAATTAACTGGTAACAGCTAACAGATAATTAATCTGAAACTGACAATAAAACAGTTTGAGACATAGAGAATGTGAGACTGACTATTTCGATGTTCCAATTAAGTGTAAGAAAATACGAATAACAGCTTTCAGCTTCTGTACACGCTTTGCACTAGTTCGTGATTGCAAATAAAAGTAAGCAAGTTTTTTGATCACAAACGCTTACTTATATCAGCAAAAAACTTACCATCAGCAAATATTTACTTAGTTTTAGTAAAGTAGCAATCATTGTACTGAATAATGTCGGTGAACTGGAAAATGGAAGGATCTATCTTTGAGAAGAATGCAAAATTTTTGATGACTTTTAACCTTTTGTTAATGCTCTAATGATAGCATCTTCCTCACTACTTTTTATTTAGAAAAGGCGGGAAGATGACGATGACAAGGAAAGATTAAAAGAGACTTAAGAAGCGGCGCAAAGTATCGTTCAAGGTTTTTCAAGCACATTATTTGCTTGTGTACCTGAGGTAACAAGCGATCAAAGACACTTTCAAGGGTATTTTCTTCCCTCACTCTTTCTCGAGCATAGGAGCTGAGTTGACTTAATTGAGGTTGTTTGCTGCCTTAAATGGAGATCGACAAATGCATGCACAGAACCAGTTTATCTCTTAAAGTATCAATGAGCGCTGGCATTCTTTCCAAACTATCATCAATTGACAATTTGACCTCTCCTTGCAAATTACAGATAAGTTAAATTTAGTATTATCTGCCATCCAATGATCAGTCAAAGAGGATAACTTATACTAAGCAAATAAGTCCCATTACTTTAAATTGTATGTCATGAACTAAGCGAAAATTTTGCTATTATAAAGATATCAAAATTTGCTATGAACTTTTAAATATCATCACAATTACCCATGAAAACTTCAAACTTGTTAAAACATAGTATTGCAGCAAAATTGCTTTTCAACGAAAATGACTACGTTTCGTTTCAATTCAGATTTACATTTTTTTATTGTCATTTTTCAGAAAAATAAGCCCAATATTTAGATTTAACTACAATTGAGTAGAATTGTAGTATTTTGTGAGTTTTTCAAACACCATAAATCGCGCTTTGCTTTAATTTTTATTTAAAAGTCAAGCGAGCTGACAGTGTTTATTGCATTCTGTACTTCAGTGAGATAGAAATTTGCTGATAGCACTAACATTTTCTAATGGTTCTGAATAAAAATTGACCGAAATCTTTAAATAATTTTCACGTATAACGAAAATGAGATGTTCTATGAAAATTAAGTATGAACAAGTTTTCACATTTCTGTAATACAATATTGAAAAGAATAATGTTTGCTCAATTATGGCAAAAAACTTTTCAGAAGTTGTGATGAAAAACAGTTAGTGTTATTATTAGTGTCATTGTAATAAGAAGATCATTGCAGAGAATAATTAAATAAGTTTTTATCATTGTGTGGAAGGAATAAGTTGGAGAATCTATTAACATAAATTGTTAGACAACTGGAAACACATCAAAATATTAACTATACCTTTTATCAGCCTGACTGTTCATTTTTAACAATTTTTAACACTAATAATCAAGTTTATCAGTGTATTCTCTTTTTACATACATTTCTTGTAAAATGATTAGTTTCTGAGTAATAGGTTTTTGCTTTTTCCTCAAATTCTTGCGATGAATTCAGAAGATTCGTTTTTGACTTTAGCCAGCAGATTAAAAGAACATAAATTTAAAAAATTCATGAACCAACTTGTTTTTAGCAGCTGCAGCACGATCACGCTGACGTCGATTTTTGAACCAGTTTCCAACTTGCATGGCAGTCAAACCCGTTTTAGATGCCAATTCCTTCTTCTTGCTTGGATTTGGGTATGGATCTTGCAAATACCATTCTCGCAACAATGACCTAAAAGATATGAAGTATTGATCCAAAAAGCTGTGAAAGTAATTCAGACTGTTACTTGATAACCTACTTTTTTCATCAGACAACAATATAAATTTGATAAGCCAAGATATTTGAAAAAGAAAATTTAAAAAAAGGCATTATGAGACAGTATGCAGAGGCAAGCATGCTATTTAGGAACGGTCATCATTTTTTAATCCAAACAATCATGACTTTCTTGAGTTGAATCGCTTGATAACCTGGTTCTTTCTTTGAAACAGTGAGTTTTCTGTTCACCATCCCAAATCGTCCGGGGCATTGGATACTTTTTTCTCACTCGGTATTTATCAACTGGTCCCAGTGGCCTACAATTAAAACAAAATTATACTTTTTGTTCACGCTGCGGCTTGGTTCTAAACAGCAACTATTGATTTGACTAGAGATATATTAAGGTATTAGTACTGTCGATAAAATAAGTTGTGCATAGAAACTGGAACTGCTAAAAAAAGTTGTAAAGTTCAACCTTCCACGTAATTTTTCGGCTTCTTGATAATGAGCTTCTTGCCACATTGCTTGCAGTTTACTATGCGATCCGTTTGTAAATTTATGCGATTCTAAAATTCGATACATCTCTTGAAAGTTTCCCATGTGAAAACATACCAGAGCTCGAGCTCGAAGTAGAGATTCATGAGTTCTAATTACATTTGTTACATCTTCACCATGTGGCTGATGTGTAATAGTCCATAAAAAACTGAAAATATTTTAGATTTATTGATAGAAAAGAATTAGTCTAACTTAAGATCACAACATTTTTCATGTGGCTAAACTAGCGTTTTTTCATGAATTTAATAATAATTAATAATCGAAAATGAAATAAAGTCAAATAAAAACTGACGTAGCAAGTCGTTCGATATTTCCAGCATCCTCAAGCTGCTCACACATCTTTACAATCTAAAATGGAACCAACTTCGGCCTGTATTTAAAATCTCAAAGAAATCTTTCTAAATATTTAAAAGATTGAAATCGAAATTTTTTCACTGGTTTCATCTGATTACGAATTCTGAGTGCTAATAATCAAATACACATTTGACAAGCCGGAAATTTGGATTTTCTGCGATCCCAATCACGCATATTCAATATTATATATGATAATGTTTTGGATATCTGTTTGAGAAAATTAATCATACCAATTTGTTCTAATATTTTAACTTACATTAAAGGACAAACAAATTAGAAATTTTAATCATTAATCCAATTCGTTATTTCAAATGATAACATATCAAAATTCAATTATGTCTTCAGAAATATCCTCTATTCATCTCTTTCTGAATATAGTACACTTTACTTACAAATAACAGAATTATTTTTAACTTATTATTTGGAAAATGTTTTGTTCTAATTATAAATACCATTTTAAGCGAAAAGGTTTTAAAATAATTAATCTCTTGAAGCAATTATGCGATGAAAATATCTGATAACTCTAAGTTTTCAAATTCTAATTATCAATTCTTTCCAAATATTATGGTTGTAATCACTCCTTTCTTGCTAATGTTAGGTATAAATATGCAGAAATTATTGTGGAGAATTCATGAAAAATTAATGAGTAAATGATATTACACAACCCATCAAAACGATAATAAAAGCTTTAAATTTATATATAATTGATAAGAATGTGTAAGATAAGCTATTAGTGCTCAATTTGGAGCATATGTACACAAATTCACACTAATCCATCTATTCATCCTAATTGATTTGCATTTCAAGCTACATTTGAACCCTTGTTAGACTACAACAAGATTTTCTCGTTGAATAGCCCAAAATTTGCGTATTTATTTTTGGTTGGGAAGAAAAAAATTAAATAACTGCTGGAAATATTTGCACAACAGTAAAACATGAAACATAAAACATTTATGCATGCAATTTAAAAATGAATGATGATAAGTTTGAATAAATGATCAACGTGAAGCTATATAGAAATTTAGTAGCGATAAAAAATTATTAATGAGATGAATATCGAGTAAATAAATGTGTAAATATTTACCTGTTCACCTGAAAGCGTCGAAGTTTCCGGCTGCACCATTGTACCGAACGTAAGTGGTCTCAAGGATGGATATAGTGAATTTCCCTGCTGATAGCTCTAAAATTTTAACTATGCAAAATATAATAAAGTTTGTGATCTTTCGACTAAGCAATCTTAGTATGGAAATTGAAACAGCAATTTTGAATATGCATGATAGCACTGCAAAGCTGAATGATAATTTAAACTAAGGGCAAAAGTTTTTTTTTTTAAAGTTCAATTTTTCTTGCTTATGATATAGTTTATAACTTACATAATTATTTCGTAGTTAGCATAAAAGAAATTTCGCACGAATCAAAAACAAAAAACGCAAGAATCTTCGTCTTTAATGACTATTTTTGATGTAGCATTTCTAATCACAAGGTATAAAATGTTTGTACAAGGCAATATATTATCTGAAAACAAGACTAAATGCCGGGATAATAACATATTTATGATAGCTAGTTTCAGTTTGGGCTTCCACATCAGGGCTCATTAGCAATTCTTTGATACCTTTCAATTTTGATATTTAGATGGTGGTAATTATCATTTTCTTTCGGGTCCTATTTTCTTCAAAAACATATAATATGTTGAATTTTGAAGCTAAAATAAAAATTCTGTAATCAAAATTGCAGATTTAATATTACTTTACTATGTATAGTCTTTGGCAGATTCCTATTTGAGCCAAAATTAAAAAAACAAAATGTTATTGAAACTGTCTAATAGTCATATTATGATCATGAAGCTTTCACTCACATTTCAATTAATCAATGATTGATAATATAAGTACAGCACCTCACGACGAACACATGCATCAACTTTGATAATTTTTGTTATTTCTTTTAAAATGAATTACAAAACTTGCTGATGCCGCAAAACTTTTTTTAGTAACTTTTCTTCTAAATTTTTTTTAAATAAAAAAGAACTTCTCATTGAATCTTGCATTTCACTTGAATTTCAAACGCAAATTATAAAGCTTTGCTTATGATTGTCAACCCACTGATAAAAGTAGATCTGATACAGTAGAAATATCAATTTCATGCCTTTAGTCAAGATTTATATCGGTCATAAAATTCTGTTTTTGTGTTTTTTTAGTATATTAAATGATAAAACTTATCAAACGCTTTCAGGAAACTTTAAGGTATTTCTAAAAAATTGTTTTCAAGTTATAATTAGGCGTGTAAAATAATGGATTACTAATTATTTATTATTAACGTAAAATAAATAGCAGTTAGAAACGAACAGAGTAGCATTTATATGTAAAAAACGTGAGCGTGAAATCGAAAAATAAATATTCACAGTCAAGGTAGAATAAGAACGGAAGTTAATTGTAGAACAAGAAAAATCGGAGAATAAAAGTTGCGATATAATTCATACGTAGTGTAAATGTTAACATGAAAAAATTGTGGACACCAATACCTGCATCGAATTTAGCGCCAAGTGCATCCACAACTTTTGCAATTGTTCAGCTCCAAGCATCGTCTTATAGTACAGTAAGAGTAAAGTAAGAGCCCGCAGGCTACTGACCCAACACGAGAAATGATTATTTCGTCTATAACACCACCGCCACCGTAATACCAACCATTATCGTCGCCAATAACACCATCACCAGCCCATCATCCATCCCCTATTTCCTTGTCATTTCGTTTCCATTCCCAATCCTCTCTTTTTCTCCAGATATACTTTCCTACTGATGTTTACATTTCTCATAATAACACACACTACTTACATTCACTATTTTTTCTTTTGCTGTCTCTTCTGATTGTTTTTTTCAAAGGCGGAGTTAGATTTTGAATTTGATTTAAGAATTGCTGTTTTCTCGCCGCCCAATGCACTCTCTTTGACATTTTGTTTCCTTCTCTGCTCCACTTATTGAATGATCTTTTTGGAAAGACAACCCTATTCATTTTGCTCTTTATCTATGCAAATACTTCTAACGTGAGCGTTAAATATTTTCACGTGTAAAGGCGTTCTCAATTCCATTTTCTAGGATACCAATTGATTTTTTATTCTTATACTTACATTAGCGAATAAGAACAGAAATTACTTACTTTCTCGACTAATTTAAGTCATTAGAAAATGAACATAATTGTGTGTTGCATTTCATTAAATTCGGTGTGCTCATTAGCAGTTATCTGCTGTAGGCTTATTTTTTGGAAATAAAAAACTCTGCATAAAGTTTAGAGACAACCACTTTGAACCTCAATCAATTTCAAATGTGCACTTAATCCATATTTAAAAGGCATTTTAAAAAGCTAAAAATCACAATTATTGATTATTTTATCCTATTTAACACTTTGTTGATTTACGTGTCATCATATTCAGCACAAACGAAAAATAATGTAATAATACTTGTGAATTGCTCGATCTGAAGTTTAGTTGCTCACTGAGAAAGATCCAAAGTAATGACTTTTTCATTTACATAGCTAATAGATACTTACAAAATTCAAGTGCACACAACACTGATATCAAGTTATACCTTTGCTTAATGTTTATAGCATTTGAAAAGTTGAGAAGGATGGAAGTATTCTAAGAATTGTGAAGCACTGTTGAGAGTTTTGTATGTTATAAAGCACAAAATAACTTGAACGTACTGTGCTGATGCAGCGAATGATAAGCCTGTTTAGTCAAGGAGAGGCAATAGATTGTCTCCTCTCAAACATTCTCACTTCTTCAAACATTTCCTTCCATATTTTATTATGCCCTAAATTTACATAATTGTCAGACAATGTGTGGCAGCTCTATTACTATTACTTACTAAATAATTAATAGCTTGTAACGCACAGAATTATTGTCTGGCAGTTCCCTACTCTTATTTTAACGTCAATACTTTTCATTTTTCTGTTGACATCAGTAGCTTGTTAATCCTCATTGAGGTCAATCAATATTATACCGACTATTATGCAATTGCTTGCTTATCTGATTACATTTTTAACACGTCGATCAGTTGAATAATTTTGGCATAGATCTTTTCTAATCCATTCGATTCATGAATTCTTTTCGAAAACATTCCTCTGCATCGTTAATATCAATAAGCAGCTCAACCCTTATTTTTACATTAGCAATAGTTCTTTGCTCTGAGTTTTTTTGAAATTTTCATTATCATTACTGTATAAAGAGAATCAACATAAATGCATTTTTCAATTTCAGTAGAAAATGAAAAAATTTGTTTCTGGAATTTGTATCATTTTGCACTGATCATTTATTTAGTGTCTAGTATTACGATATCACTAAGAGCACTAAATCTTATATTCGGATGATCGCAGTCAATTAAACAACGATTTCGGGAAATTCATTTGTATTACTTCTTGCAACACATAAATTGCCATTCTGAAAGTAGTACCACAATAGTGCTAAATTTATTTGATTTTGTTTTCTCGTACCAATTTCGAGTCTTGAAACAGTATAAATTTTCATACCGAACAGATCTTTCATGATAAAAGTATACAAAACTTTTGCATATTTCGGCTGCCTCGAAAGCGAACTGGTGCACAGTGGGTGTAATTTTCATTTTTTGCACCTCGGTTTTGCACCGATATGAATACTCATTTTGCAGAGTTAATCTTTGAATGATAAAAAGTGAAACATAGCAGATATTTCTGAACTTTTTAGAGTATTTTTTAAGCAAACTCAAAAGTTTTCGTAGTAAAAATTAATAGCTGAAGAAATTATTTGATATTGTCATCTCATGCAAAATTTTTTGTTCTTTGCCCTGCACTCTTTCTGTGAATTTGGAGTTTATAAGTTTTAATCGCTCCACAGGAGACACTACTTACTTACTTACTTTCAATTCATCTCACCAAAGTTAAAAGAAATCAGTGAATGAAACGAAATTAGAAGAAAGTTTTCAAAAGAATACTTTGACTGCATTTGAAAAAATGATGCAACCATTTTTGTGAGTATTTTTGATTCTCTGAGAGTCTTTTTCACTTTCTTTTCATTTAAAAACCACTTTTACTGTGCATGTAATCTTTGACATAATCAGTAGTTAAAGGTCAGATTTTCAATAAGTGACCTTCAGCATCATTACAAAGTTAAGGATAAACTATAAAAGATTGAAAAAATTGCGATAATCGTAATCACCATTGAGCAGTAAGATATTGCACATTGATTCTATCAGAAATTGATGATTAACAGCTTGCTGTGTTTAAAAACATTCGAGTCTGCCTAGCTTTGCATACAAAAGATTATGCGAGATAAAGAAGAACTTTTTATCAATTGAATGTTTGGCAAATCAGTTTAGAAAAGATTCAAAATATCAGCATAGCATACAAATATATAAATGTATCAGTCTATTTTTGTCACCAGTATTACCAAAAATATAATGCTTGCTTTCTTTGTATTTATAATACGCATGGTAGAGTAAACCATTAATGTTCTGAAATTGTGTATTTACGTGAAGTCAAAGTTACAATTATTGTTTGATTTGATGATAAATTCAAATGAATGACATGCATTGCATTGACAATTTAGAATGCATTAAGATAAGAGACAGGTATTTCACCTCATTATCCTTCTACGTTCGACAAACAAATCCTTTGATAAATGTCTTCTGCGTCCGTAATAATAATTTCGAATAGATTACAGCACAATGCCAAATATATAGTGGTAATAATGGTTGTGGTAGTAGCACTGATAGTACACAAAGAACCACATACTTTTATAATAAATTATGATCAAATTTCCATTGTAATTACAATATATTATCTCACTCTATGATTATTATTAATTTACTGAATTGAATTTATCTCAAATGGCCAGTTCAAATTTTTATTTCTTTGCGTAATTCTATTGCTTGGCAAAGATAAATAATTACCAGTGGGATAACACAATTCATGCATTTTTGCAGCTGCTGGAATTAAGGTAAAGATTGAGATGAGATGAAAGAATCGACACAGCAATAATCACTTAGGATATTTCTTACTATCTCATAGCAATAATGCTGATAAGGTGCGAACTGACTGTTTGATATTAACAAAGCGGAAAAAAATTTCAACACTGGTCATCGATAACGATCGTAATTGGTCTATTTTCTGTCTAAATTTTTCGAATATGCAATTTTAGGCTTTTTCATGTTGCATAATTTAAGGCTTATATTCAAATAGTTAACCACCAAAAATATATTCTCAACAAAATAATCACTTTTGAAATAAATAAATAATCAATGGTTTGTGAACTTACGTGCTGATTTTTGAATAAATTCAGACGCGAATGATTAAAAAGTTTTGTAAATAATTTCAAGTTTTTATCATAAATGTGACTATTTATTTCGTGATACGAAAATCAAACGTCAAATGTTTTTTCGCATACATTTTCGCACCACTTCTAAATTATCGATAAGAGACTTTTAGGGTGTAATTGTAGAGGCGGAAAAATTGTACCCAAGGACAATCTCGGGAAATATTCTTCACTGGACGGCTTAAGTGGTCAAAAAAATCACCCTAATAATATTAACCATACTTTCTCATTCCCATGCCACTTTTTAACATACACGTC